TATAATCACTATCTATCTGTATATTTATCTCTCTTTTTCTGTGTGTGGTTGGCGGGTATTCTGGTGTGGTTTGCTCCTTCTTTCCTATCAAACTTTATCGTCCTTATCTTTCCTTCTTTTTTGTGTATATACTCTCTTGTAACCCATCTATTCTTCAGCACCTATATCTCTCTTTCTCTCTCTCTGTGCAGGTCGTATGGCGTGGTGCTGTGGGAGATGGTAACCTTGGCGGAGCAGCCGTACCAGGGCCTGAGTAATGAGGAGGTCCGTCGTTTCATCATGGAAGCTCGCGTGATGAGTGCGCCCGTTGGATGTCCCTTAGACTTGTGAGTGCTCACGCTGCCTCTTACTGTCCTACTGTTTTGATTACAAATTTTTAAGTATTGTATATACAGTTTGCCTTCACACACATGCTTACATTGTTATGCTGACACACACACACACACACACACACACACACACACACACACACACACACACACACACACACACACACACACACACACACACAAGATGTGACGAAGGCAGTAACAACCATGGCAGCCGAAAGCAAAAGTCAAACAACACAAACCTTTTAGTTCGATATTTGGGAATCTTTTATTCCCTTAAAGTCTACTTTTGCAGCCTGCTCTCTTTAAAGTCATACTGTCGGTGGTAAAGATAAATAATTGCGTGGTGTGGATTTCTTTTTCCTCATTTATACATAACTAGCTTGTCCTAGGGGTCAGAAACTTACCTGAGTACAGTCTGAAGCCAGTGAGTTAAATAAGAACAAATAAGTTGAATGTAACGGACTGCAGCTTATATGCAAATGTTATTTATAGACCCTGTTCTCTCCCATCTGTCTTCAGACTTCGGCATGGCCCGAGACGTGTACATGACAGACTACTACCGCAAGGACCAGAGAGCGCTGCTGCCGGTGAGATGGATGGCTCCTGAGTCTCTCCATGACGGGATTTTCACCACCATGTCTGACATATGGTATGTAACGTACTGTGTGTTTGCTCCTCTATATAAATGACCTATTGTGTTGCAAGTACTGTTAAAATTTACCAAAGCAAAAGAGCTGCCATAGAGCATTTGAAACCGTGAACGTGTCCGCCGTGTATGAGTTGTTAAGGGGCGCTACTGATAGGTCCTTCTTTTTATTCACTCTGTTGTTTTGTCTATCTGTCTTGCTTTTACAGAGGTCTGAATTACCATTATTCTTTTGATGTGCCTCTCTTTACTCAAACTAAGCCAAACAGATGAGCTCAAACAGATGAGCTATTCCACATTTGTCAGTTTGCTATGCTTTGATAGAACCTGAAACACTTATGACAAGTTCCTGTTTCTATAAGCTTTGTGCGTGCGTGCGTGCGTGCGTGCGCGCGCGCGCGTGCGCTAGCTAGCGCGCGTTGCTGTTTGTCCTTCTGTCTGTCTCTTTCTTGCTCTTTCTCTCACTCCCTTTCTTCCTCCCTTTCTTCCTTCCTCCCTT